TAAAGATGGAAGCCAGAATATGAATATTGATACCATTACTGAAGGCCTGAATGATCTTTTTCCCCTTACCATTGCTCAGTTGGGAAGACAGTGGCTCTGACACAAAACAATTTTAACCTGCTCTCTTTTTAGCAGAATAACTCAATTCTTACAACAAATCGTGTCACGTCTTAACTGAAAACCTAGAAAAAGGAAACTCAATTAGTTTAGCATGCTGTTACATGATTTGGCCAATTTTGCTTTTACAGCCAGTATATATATATATATATATATATATATTGTATATATATATATATAAAATATATATTCAACTCCAAGATTACTTTCCTTACTTTTCTAAGTCAATCATTCAAGATTTGATTTGACATGGCTGATCATGGCTCCCCATAACTTCCCATCTTTCATAGACCTTTATAATTTCTGTCTCTTTATTATCCCTCACTGTTTTGCCATCCATTTACGCAAACTCATTACTTAGTTACTGATTGTTTCACTCTGTTTCTCTTACCTTCAGTATGTCCTGTGAGGGTCAGATTTTCCAAGTCTTCTTTCCTCATCATGCATCCTAGAAATTTAAATTGTATGTTTTTGATTCTAAGTATGTGGTTTTTATTTCCATTTTCCTTAAAACTTCCTTGTCACTCACATGTTCTGTCGATGGTATTCTCAGCATCCTTCTGTAGCCTCAAGTCTCTTCTTCATCCATGTGGAAATGGTCCAGTAATCACTGAGTAGGATTGATATTATATTGCAGTTCTGATAGGAAGACTGAGCCTTCTCTATTTTTTTTTTTTCAAGAAAAGCCACTTTTCTTGAGCCATCTTGTTCTACGATAAAAGTTTTTGGTAACAAAATTGTTCTGTAAGAAAAATAGCTTATAATAATAAGAAAACAATTTCCAGTTTTAGCTGAGTGAATGCAAGTGGTTATTTGAAAAAGAATATGTCTCTTCTTCAAAACAAGTGTGTATCCTGACCAACCCATGGTGACTCAACTCTTCTTAAATCAATGCTAACCTTTCTTAAACCGTTTCTTTCCTTTTTTTGTCAGATAAAGCACACAAAGTTATGTCAGACACTGATTCTATATTATATCATTTTTTCTCTCCTTTTTTTTCTAACCATTGTGACTCATTCCTTTAAATACAGATCACTCTTAAATAGATTCCAATTGACCCGTGCAGAATTGTTTCTGATTTAATACTATTATTTACAATCTTTTTCTTTGTGTGTTTCTCTTTATGCGTTTCTTTCTCATGATGTGACAGCAGATTCTTGAGACTTTATCGACAGAGATGAGACAAAGTACAAAAATACCAATACATATAATTCTGCAATCAAATCTGACAAAATTTATCATAATTTATGCCAACCAATAAAAAAGATTTACATGAATAACTTTAAATTTATCCACAAATGGATACATCTCAGCTGTCCCATAATTTGTTATCCATAATAAAACCTTCAAAAAGTTCTTTTGGTAGAATTATTCCGGGACACTATGCATATTTTCTAGATTCAGTGAATCAAAGTAATATATCCAAAGACTCGTCAATAAAACTGAATGATGATCATGGTGGCTTTTAAAATAGAAAACAATTTCACTAACCACCCACATATAACTTAACTTTATGCTGTAGCAAAAAAGCAGTGTTCTATTTTACTGTTTATATACAACTAACATATTACCCATCAAAAATGTAAAATTAGACTAGTCCTAGCAAATTTGTCAAAATTAATAACACAATTCGGTTATTATCTGTTAATATCATTATGTATATGCGTGTGTGTAGTGAATAGTCCAGGATGATTAGAAGTTTGATAATATTTTCACTAATCTCTTTTATTCATTTACTTACCTTATTTTCATAAATTTTAACATAAAATATCCATAGATTAATAGATAAAAATGTGTTTCATTTTAACAAGCCTCTAAAGCCTCCATGACTTTTTGGGAGGCATACATACACATACATAGATTTCATATATATAGTACAGGTAATAGATCGATTGGTATATAATCCAGGTGGATCCTAGTAATATCAGATATTAAAACTAATCCACATAGAGAGCTCAATGAATGCATTATAACAGAGGATATATATTATACAGCAAAAATTCAAAATTACCTCATGTGGGTATAGTCTATTTCAAGAGTTTCAAATAGACTATACCCACATGAGGTAATTTTGAATTTTTGCTGTATAATATATATATATATTATTCAGAGGTATAGAGTACTAACTGCCTGAAGCACTAAACATTGTGTGTATATCTTCCTTCTTAAATTAACAGTGAAAGAAATGGAATCTTATTTCATTTGTGCTGATACTGGGATAGAAATGAACAGATTGAGGTATAGTGATAGACAGATATTATTTATTTTTTTTTACAATGATGTTCCCCCCTCCCCCATACAATGCCAAAGATCCACTTAAGTTAGATGGTTATAAACTAAGAGGCACAGTTGACCCTAGACTTGATCAGGTTAAGATAGTAGTCTGGGGAGTCAGTTCCACAGTGAATGAAGGTGGCTTTCTACAATGTTCATGGCAGAGTGGGTCTTAGCCATGAAGGTTATAACTAGTGGAACTAAGAAATGTATTTGTTTGAACATTTTCTATGGAAATAGTGATAAAGCAGTAAAAGGTTTCTAAAATTTTGTTTCTGAGAAAGGGGTTGTAGGGTAGAAAATTGTCACCCACAAGGATACAGAAACAGTTTTGGACTATCAGAACTGGAAATTGAACACTGGGCAGTTCCAGCCCTTATATGGCAGCAGTACTCCATTTTTAGCCTGATCTGGCTCTTCTAAAAGTAGAGGATAGTAGAAGTTAGATACTTACTAAAGTGGTACAGAGAACCAACCATTTTACCAGCATCTTTAGTGATGGATTGTGGTCTGAGTTAAGTTTAATTTCCAATAGAAGCTCAAGGCACAGGACGTCCCTGAGGGAACATTCGTTCATCACAATTGGTGAAAGTTCTGGATTCACTCAATGATGATGAAATGCCACTAGTTTGGTTTTCGAGGCATTGAAATGACCAGCCAGTTGTTCCCCATCAATGAGCTGTTAGAACTCTGTCAGAGGAGAGATCAGCTGCCAATTTTGATCATCTAAAGTTTTGGAGGTGCACCCATATACTTTTGTATCGTCAGTATAGATATTTATATTGAGAGAACTGGCTGTTAGCAACTACTTTCAGGGACTTACCCATTGGGAAAGACTTGATAACTGTGAAGACTCTTCCAGTGATTCCATACCTGGAGAACTTGTATAGTAATCTTTTATGCTAGATCTTATCAAAGAAGCTTTGAAGTATCTAATGCAATCATTTTTTAGATGTATTTGTTATCTAGTGCTCCACTAATTCTATGAGCATAGCAGTTAGGATATCATCAGCGGACAAGGGTGATCAAAATCCATACTTTTTGTTGCTAAAGAAGTTATTCTTATTTCAGTGATAAACAACCTTCTTGTTAATAGACAATTATAGAGATAGAGAGACAGATAGATAAATATAGTGACAGATAGAAAGATATATATATATATATATATATATATATATATATATATATATATATAGATAGATAGGAAATAGGTAGAAAGATAAGAACAGTAATTGGTAGATAGGAACAGAGAGGGACGTAGATAGATAGATAGATAAGGACACTGATATTTTGATAGATAGGAACAGAGATAAATAAGTAGGATAAGTGCGGACATAGGAACAGAGATAAATAGGAAGATAGATAAGAACAGTGATAGATTGACACACATGAACTATCTCTATAGAGAACTATAGAGATAGTTATGGAGATTGATGTGCTATAAGAATATAGATAGATATGCCATAGATAGGTATACTATACAGATAGAGATAGATAATTATAAAAATAGATAAAAAAGGAGACATATAAATTGAATGAGAAATAAATGAACAGATTCAGATAGATAGATAGCATGTGGTTATTTCAGTTTAATATGATTGATTTAAATGAGACGAACGTTGGGTAACATGAATTTTTTGTTAGCTTTCTCGTTTTCCTGGAGATCGATTTCTATTTGGATATCAACAAATGTTGAAAGTTCAGGGCGTGATGGATAAATTCACGATTTTGACAATTGCTGACATCAACAAATAGACACGTGTGCGCGCTTCAAACCCCCCACCTCTCTCTTGACATCCAGTGTAACTTTTGAGGCTGCAAAGAATTGGTTAAAGACTTACACACACACGCGTGCGCGCGCACACACACACACACACACACACACACACACGCACGTTTTATTCCGGGATTCCCTTAGTACAGATCTTACAATAGTACTCAAAGGGTAGATTTTTAATCTGTTTTCTAACCCGACCACCGCCTCTATCGACACCCCCCACTCCCACCCCCCACCCCATCGAAAACGCGAGTCCCCTCAGGTCATCCCAATGCAACAAAAGTGAGTAACAAAAGCATTGGTTTCTCCTCTCACTTTATTCTGTACTCTCACTCTTTCTCTTTCCCTTGTCACCTTTTCTCTCCCCCTTACTTTGTATTTCTCACACATAGTCATCACTATTCGTATCTTGTTCTCTTTCTTTCTCCCCCGCCCCACACCCACCTCCATAAAGAAAACCTGTTCCGTACACTGACGGCTCTCGTCTATATTGGGAAAGCGTGCCTCACCGACTATCAACAGCTGGTTTTTGTATTTCTGATCCTTGTTTCGCCCTCGCACCCATCGTCAATTCTAGCCGGACGAAGAGAAGGGCAAAGAGATATGAAGCGAGCTGTTAGTTTAAAAAAAAAGAAAAAAAAAAAGAAGAATTGCTAGTGAAATAAGAGTGGACATCAGATTAGGAAAGAGTGAGAAGTGAGAGATGTTGAGTTTGAAAGACGATGTGAGAGAAAGGAAGAATGAATGAAATAAAGAAAGAAATAAAGAAGGTGAAGAAAAGGTGATTAACGGTGACGAAAGAGAGCCAGCAGCGAAATGTCGCCAAAGTTGATCATGTGATTGGTTGATGAATAGACTGTCGAGCGAGATAGATAGAAAAATAGATGGGTAGAGAGAGAGAGAGAGAGAGAGAGATGAAAAAAAGAAAGAAAATGTTTCTTATTTTTTTATCAACATTGTCTCCGAACCTGTGAATAAACAATCTGAAATATGAGCAGAGTAAAATAAGGTAGTTAAAATTTTACAAGTGAGTAAGAAGATCGTGTTGCGCCAAATTTGGCATGTGTACCTTCAAAATTTCATCTTTTTACCTACGTTCGAACACTAGCCAGAAGCTCTCTAGACACACAGACGAGAGTGCACAACTATTTAAACAACTAAGGCATGCAGGAGAATGTGTGGAGTTGTTGAGATAATGAGTAAGAGACAAGTTTGTGTGTCTGCATGAATGAACATGTGGCTTTTTAAACATGAAAGTACAGAAGGCGAGGTGTGAGAAGGAGAGCGATAACTTGTTTCGTACTTTTAACACTTGCGTATGTATAAAAATGTTGATAAATATATACAAGGTAACAAGATGTTTCGGTCCCGAGAGAGAGAGGGAGAAAATAGTTTAATTTACAGATAGGTTTGTATCCATTGAATTGAATAATTCCATTCCCTGTACGTATTTGTGTGTGTGTGTGTGAGAGAGAGCGAGAAAGAGAGTGAGAATAAAGAGAGAAATGAGCAAACTGAGATAGATCATAAAACAAATTTAGATAGACATTGAAACACAAAAAGAGAGATAGCAAAATAGATATAGAAACGGTGATATTTTGATAGGAACATAGATAGATAGGAACATAGAGACAGGGACAGACAGATAGATAGATAGATAGATAGATAGGAACATAGAGACAGAAACAGGGATAGATAGATAAATAGATAGATAGATAGGAACATAGAGACAGAAACAGGGATAGATAGATAAATAGATAGATAGATAGGAACATAGAGACAGAAACAGGGATAGATAGATGAATGAAACATAGAGACAGAAACAGGGATAGATAGATAGGAACATAGAGACAGAAACAGGGATAGATAGATAGATAGGAACATAGAGACAGAAACAGGGATAGATAGATAGATAGGAATATAGAGACAGAAACAGGGATAGATAGATAGGAATATAGAGACAGAAACAGGGATAGATAGATAGGAATATAGAGACAGAAACAGGGATAGATAGATAGGAATATAGAGACAGAAACAGGGATAGATAGATAGATAGGAATATAGAGACAGAAACAGGGATAGATAGATAGGAATATAGTGACAGAAACATAGATAGATAGATAGGAATATAGTGACAGAAACATAGATAGATAGATAGATAGATAGGAATATAGAGACAGAAACAGTGATAGGAACAGGGATAGATAGATCGATAGATAGATAGGAATATAGAGACAGAAACAGTGACAGGAACAGGGATAGATAGATAGATAGGAATATAGAGACAGAAACAGTGATAGGAACAGGGATAGATAGATAGATAGATAGGAATATAGAGACAGAAACAGTGATAGGAACAGGGATAGATAGATAGATAGATAGATAGATAGGAATATAGAGACAGAAACAGTGATAGGAACAGGGATAGATAGATAGATAGATAGATAGGAATATAGAGACAGAAACAGTGATAGGAACAGGGATAGATAGATAGATAGATAGATAGGAATATAGAGACAGAAACAGTGATAGGAACAGGGATAGATAGATAGATAGATAGATAGATAGGAATATAGAGACAGAAACAGGGATAGATAAATAGGAATATAGAGACAGAAACAGGGATAGATAAATAGGAATATAGAGACAGAAAAAGTGATAGATAGATAGATAGGAATATAGAGACAGAAACAGTGATAGGAACAGAGATAGATAGATAGGAATATAGAGACAGAAACAGTGATAGGAACAGGGATAGATAGGAATATAGAGACAGAAACAGTGATAGGAACAGGGATATAGATATAGATAGGAATATAGAGATAGGAACAGGGATAGATAGATAGATAGATAGATAGGAATATAGAGATAGGAACAGGGATAGATAGATAGGAATATAGAGATAGGAACAGGGATAGATAGATATATAGATAGGAATATAGAGATAGGAACAGGGATAGATAGATATATAGATAGGAATATAGAGATAGGAACAGGGATAGATAGATAGATATATAGAGACAGAAACAGTGATAGGAACAGGGATAGATAGATATATAGAGACAGAAACAGTGATAGGAACAGGGATAGATAGATAGATAGATAGAGACAGAAACAGTGATAGGAACAGGGATAGATAGATAGATAGATATATAGAGACAGAAACAGTGATAGGAACAGGGATAGATAGATAGATATATAGAGACAGAAACAGGGATGGATAGATAGATGGATGGGTAGATAGATAGATAGATAGATAGGAATATAGAGACAGAAACAGTGATAGGAACAGGGATGGATAGATAGATAGATAGGAATATAAAGACAGAAAGAGTGATAGGAACAGGGATAGATAGATAGAGAAACAGTGATATTTTGAAAAGAACAGAGATAGATAGATAGAAAGATAGAGAAACATTGATATTTTGATAAGGACAGATATAGATAGATAAACTAACATTTTGATAGAAACAGAGATCAACACTTCAGTGATATATAGATAGGAACAGAGATAGATAGATAAATAAATAGATATAGAGATAGAAACAGAGAGAGATCGATATCTAGATAGGAAATAGATAAGAACGGTGATTGATATATAAGAACAGAAATAGATAAGTTAGAGGGACACGGATAGATAGATAGATAGATAGTTAAGAACAGTGATCGATTGATAGATGGGAACAGACTGACTGAGAGAAATTAATTGATCTACTAAAAACTAAACAAACTAAGATATAGATCTCACCACAAAACAATTTGATGTGAGCATGCACACAGAATTACATTGTTACAAGGGGGAAAAAGAGCCAACTCTAACTTAGTAAATTAGACTAGCTTACAAACCAAGAAAGAAAGAAAGCAAGCTTGTCTACTGCCGGTGATGGGCCCTTTTCTCTTCCTTTCTTTACTACTGATACCTTTTTGTACACACGCACACACACGTGGACTAAAATTATCATTTTTAACTCATGATTTTTCCCTCTATTTTCCTTTCATCATTTTTACCCCTTTCCATTCAACCTTTTCTTCCCCTCTTTTTCTCTTAAGCCTTCTCTTTATCCGGAACCTTTTTTCTTTCCCATTCACTATTACACTCACTATTACTACTGCCAATGCAATTGATTCTCTCTAGCTGAATTTTGCTTCATCTTTTTAAAGAATGAGCAGCAGCAGCAACTGAGATCACGACGACGACGACTGCTATCACCACTAACAACAACAACAGAAATAATCAGCATCAGTACTTACTTAGCAACAAACCCCAGGCTGGTGCCAAACCCTTCCATCAGTAGCACAGCCCTATACAAGGCCCATACTAGTTTAGTTTAGTCATGCTTTCACACAAGAATACGTTTATGATTCCAGCAGACAAGTAGTTACCATTATTTCTCCCCATGTGCCAACGATGGGAACTGGGCAAGAATGATGCAAACACAGGGATGCCAATAGTGGACAACTTATTGTCGAGAATTCTGACGTCGTACCAAGGTTAACAACTTGTGTAATCTACACAACATGTGCCTGATTTTGAATCGTGAATCTGTCATCATTATTTGAGAGGTTTTTTATTCTTTACCACCAGTGACCTGTACGTGTGTGGAATATATAATTTATTAGTGTTGTTATTGTTCTTATTATTAATCTCTGGCTTTTAAAATATACATAAATCATGGTTCTGGATTATATTGTAACTGTCTGGGAGACGGCCGAGCCGGAAGTCTATGATTCTCAGGTAAGTGTTTATTGTTTAATTAAAGAGTAATTCTTTATCCCAGTTGTTTTTTTGAAATGTTATGTTAGTTTATATTTGTTTGACAATAATGTATAGCATACGTTACACTATTGTCAAAAGATATCAATGCTTTTCTTTAAAGTGTAAGTTGTAAAAACTAAACAGATTTTATACCGGTCTCTTCGAAAAGACACATGTACAGAAGCGTACATAGTTGTGTTCCTCTTTATAAAACGGTATTATTATCTCATTTCTTGAATAGAGAGAGTGACAGGCGGTGATACATAACAGAACACAATGTTCCGGTCTTTTTGTATATATATGTATTATTAGTTGTATAGATGGACTGGACAATAAGTATCTTTCTTCGTGAGGACACATCGTAATATATAAACAGATGGACAGAGAAAGACTCGTCATCACATGTGAATATCAGGTCTTTATTTCCTTCATGAATAAAACGCTTGGAGTCATATAATTCCTTAAGGATCTGTACTTGCGTACATTTAATATCGATACAAATACTAATTGTGTGTGTCGGCGATCTGTTTCTCTTTTCTCTGCTGATGAATGAGACAAACAGATTTCTCAAAAATGCATCGAACGTTTTTTGAGAATAATTCCTTTACACATTACACACGTCGACACGTAATTATTACATATTCGTTGTTTTTTTTTTTTTTTATAAAAGTAAAACAAAATACTGACTCACTCTACATGTGGGACTTACTTTATTGTACATCGATTATTGAGACGTACATATTCATAGATTTAATTACTTTCCTATTGAAATGACAGCAACATTATAAGAAATTGCCCTGGACAGAGACACTAACAACAATGTTATCATAATTGTCATTAAAATAGTTTATCAGTTAATTAAAGTGAGTAATTAATTGAACACAAAATAGACAAAATCAAGATAATTATAAATGAAAATATTAGTAGAAATATGGTTGGGAGAACTGACTGAATCAGAAAAAAAATCACAGAATCTTTTTTTTTTTTTTTTTACATATTTTCCATGTGGTTGTCAAATATTTTAATTTCCTATAATAAAAATAGAGAAAAGGAGACTTTTTCATTTGAACCTTTCTTTTTAAAGTGTTATTTAATTTTTGAAGTATAGTAACTTCTCTAGAATTTTGATTATGCAATTATTGAAAATCTCAATCAGTTCCTATGAATTTATGAAAATATTTTAATGTTTAGTAAGTCTACTAATAAAATTTAATAAAAAGTGTCCAATTAATAATTAATTACACGGTCTTTTAGCACCATCAGAGAGAAAAAACACATGCATTGAAAATAGAATTTCTGAATTTCCCTTGTGTTGCTTCCAGTAGAAACAAATGGCACATGTGCAGTTCAACCTGTTCCTTATGCATTATGCGGCAGAGTGACAACCTCACACACCCATCATAAAAAAAATAATTGTCTATTTGGCAGCAATCCCTCTTTTATACAAGTTTCATTTTAAAGACAACTGACAAGGTACTGCGATTAAGTTTTTTTCATTTTTTCTTGTGTTCTTAAAGGATTTACTTTTCTCTGGGAATTTTTTTGGTAAAGTGGATGCTTGTTGAATTGAATAAGAAGATTAATCAGTACCTTTTCAGTCGTCTTTAATAAAATCTTGTACATATGTGTGTCGCAAGTGTTTGTTTAGACATGTTTTATTAGTTTTATTAGATAATATAAACAAACGATAAAGGTACAAAAAAAAGTCATCATTAATTCAATTGGAAACTTGAAATGCTTAATAAACACACATGAACTGTGGACAAATCATTTATAGATGTGATCCTAACATTCGGCAATTAATCCTTCAAAGAGAAAAAAATATAATATAATTGGCAGATTTTGTCTATCTTATTTTTTTTAACAAAAGACACACTCGTCTATCTATCTATCTATCTATCTATCTATCTATCTATTTATCTATCTATCTATCTGTTTTTATTTTCATATCTCTATTTGTTTTTATTTTCATATATCTGCTTTTATTTTCATATCTATTTTTATTTTCATATCTGTTTTTATCTATCTTATTTTCATTATCTGTTTTTATTTTCCTATCTATCCTAAGCTCATTCTTTTTTAAGGAGTACACTGTACACAATAGCATGTCACAGTCTTTATAAGGTGATATGTATATTTAAAACTTGTGTTGACTGTTATTATCTTAACCTTCTTGTCCAACTGCCTAGTGTCCTTGCCTTGGCAAAAACCATGCTTTCTGATATGTATTTTCCAAGTTGACACCACTTCCTCATTTGGAAGTATGATACAACACTATCTTTTACCTTTTCTGTCATTGCCTTTTGTCAAAGTAGACTTTAGTTATATAATATTTAAATTTTGAATATAGATATAGCAATAAGCATAATAATAAGTATACCTCAAATTTAGGCTTTGAATCTGTCTGTTTAAAGATTTACATATAAATAATTCATGCATTTCCTGGCATGCACAAAACCATCACATGTGGAGAAAAGGTGTTTCTTTATACAGATATGTAATAAGACATACATTTATGAAGTTATATCTGACATTTTTATTCATATTAAATTTGCATTCACACATGTAAACCTCATGATGCATGTTTCATTCTATATGATAATATCTATCTATCTCAGTCTATCTATCTACCTACCTATCAATATATATATATATATATATATATATATATATATATATATATATGCACACATGCACACACACACACACACACACACACACATTTTGTGTGCTTTTATTAAATTTGCATTCACACATTTAAACCTCATGATACATGTTTCATTCTATATAATAATATCTATCTCAGTCTGTCAATATATGCTCAGACACACACACAGAGGTATATATATATATATATATATATATATATATATATATATATCAGTCTTTCAATATATATATATATATATATATATACACACACACACACACACACACACACATATATATATATATATATATATATATATATATATATATATATATATATATATATATATATATATATATATGTGTGTGTGTGTGCTTATTAAATTTGCATTCACAAATTTAAACCTCATGATACATGTTTCATTCTATATAATATCTGTCTCTCTATTTTCAGTCTACTTATCTATCCACACGCACACACACACATATATCTTTGTGTACACTTATTTCAATCACCTGTGCTTGATGTAATTCCAGGATTTTCAAACGTGCTGATTTCCACCTGAATGACAAGAACAACAACACAATCTTCCAAGTCTCTTATAATTCAGGGTATTAAATCTATATATACCTCAGTCTCTTCTCATTTTTCTTATATCTACTTCAGCCTACACATCTATTTCTCTCTTTCTCTCTGTGCGCACACACACACACATACAAAACTAAAATATCTGTGAGCAGATATCCGTCTTCACACTATGGTATTCACTACTATTAGTTTATTGATTTATTTATACTGTCCAAAATAGGTGCTGGGTTGTACAACAATTATCTTGCATAGAAATTGGAATTATTGAACCAACTTCAGTTTTTGACTGTGGTTGCTTACATTCTCTTCACTTTCATAGCCTTAGGAAAGGCATGAAACTATTTTTCCCCTGAACACTTTCACATTAGCTGAAATCTTGAAATATATTATTACTGGCAGGGGCTAGCAGAAAAAAAGAGATGTTAAATGAATGCTTAGTAAATCAAAGTCACAGCAGCATTAACCATACCTGCCTAGTCAATAATAAGTTTTATGTTTCATGTGACCCTCAACAGGAGCCTGTCACTATGCCATATTAAATTAGATGTACCTAAACCACCTGTTTTATTTTATAAAAGCAATATTAGTTGTCATATACTAGAATTTTTTCCATAGTATGATGGATATTTAAAAGTGTGATGAAATATTGGCTTTTCAAAACCTCCTTTTTTCATTCTGCCCATCTTTCTCTCCTTCCTTTTTCTATCTATCTATCTATCTATCTCAGTCTGTTCCTATCTATCTATCTCAGTCTGTTCCTATCTATCTATCTCAGTCTGTTCCTATCTATCTATCTCAGTCTGTTCCTATCTATCTCTATCTCAGTCTGTTCCTCATCTATCTATCTCAGTCTGTTCCTCCTATCTATCTCAGTCTGTTCATCTATCTATCTCAGTCTGTTCCCATCCTATCTATCTCATCTATCTATCTCAGTCTGTTCCCTATCTATCTATCTATCTATCTCAGTCTGTTCCTATCTATCTATCTATCTATCTCAGTCTGTTCCCTATCTATCTATCTATCTATCTCAGTCTGTTCCCTATCTATCTATCTATCTATCTATCTCAGTCTGTTCCCTATCTATCTATCTATCTATCTCAGTCTGTTCCCATCTATCTATCTATCTATCTCTCTGTTCCTCTGTTCCTCATCTATCTATCTATCTATCTCAGTCTGTTCCCATCTATCTATCTATCTCATCTGTTCCTATCTATCTATCTATCTATCTCAGTCTGTTCCTATCTATCTATCTATCTATCTCAGTCCTCTATTCCTATCTCATCTATCTATCTATCTATCTCAGTCTGTTCCTATCTATCTATCTATCTATCTATCTCAGTCTGTTCCTATCTATCTATCTATCTATCTATCTATCTCAGTCTGTTCCTATCTATCTATCTATCTATCTCAGTCTGTTCCTATCTATCTATCTATCTATCTCAGTCTGTTCCTATCTATCTATCTATCTATCTCAGTCTGTTCCTATCTATCTATCTATCTATCTCAGTCTGTTCCTATCTATCTATCTATCTATCTCAGTCTGTTCCTATCTATCTATCTATCTATCTCAGTCTGTTCCTGTCTATCATCAGTCTGTATCTATCTATCTATCTCATCTCAGTCTGTTCCCTATCTATCTATCTATCTCTGTTCCTATTCTCCATCTATCTATCTCAGTCTGTTCCCATCATCTATCTATCTATCTCAGTCTGTCTATCTCATCTCTATCTCAGTCTGTCTATCTATCTATCTCAGTCTGTTCCTGTCTATCTATCTATCTATCTCAGTCTGTTCCTGTCTATCTATCTATCTGTTCCTCTATCTGTCTCAGTCTCTATCTCTATCTCAGTCTGTTCATATCTATCTATCTATCTATCTCAGTCTGTTCAGTCTCCATATCTATCTCATCTATCTATCTATCTATCTATCTCTATCTCAGTCTGTTCATATCTATCTATCTATCTATCTATCTATCTCTCAGTCTGTTCATTCATCTATCTATCTATCTATCTATCTATCTATCTCAGTCTGTTCATATCTATCTATCTATCTATCTATCTATCTATCTCAGTCTGTTCATATCTATCTATCTCATCTATCTCATATCTATCTCTCAGTCTGTTCATATCTATCTATCTATCTATCTATCTATCTCAGTCTGTTCATATCTATCTATCTATCTATCTATCAAAGTATATTATTGTTTTTGCATAAAATACATTTGACAAAATCTTTTTTTTTGTAATATATCTATCGCCTTCATCTGTAATTTATTGCAGACTGATTGAATCTCTTTCTTTTGGTTTAATCTTTTCTATCGGCCAGTTCATATTTGCCTATTTCAGTTTTTCTTTGACTGCATGTCTATTCTCTGCTTTTTACTTATCTATATATTTGTCTAAATCTGTTTTGAGATATATATACCTTTCTAAATCTCTTTTGAGATTTATCTATCTAAATCACTTTTGAGGTCTAGATCAATCTCTTTTGAGATCTATCTATCTATCTATATCTTTTCTGAGATCTATCTATATGTCTAAATCTCTTTTGAAATCTATCTTCTGAGGTCTGTCTATTTAGGAGTGTTTTAATATCTATCTCCTCAAGATACAACTCTTGACAAATGTCTCACGTTTGAAAATGACCACCTGACAACCTCATCTTGTTCCATTGTCTATATACAAGTGAATGATTTTTACATATACTACAAATTCATTTTGGGTCTGCATATAAATTTGTCAGACACTTGTAGAGAAATAAACATAAATATTTTCATAATTTCCTTCTGTTTTCATAATTTCTGTTGCTTATTTATACTTTAAACACATCTATATTGAAATCATGTAAATTTAATAATTTCACATCAAATACTTTTAACATCCAACCATAACTTGTAGCATGATGCTAAAATATACATCTGTCACAGTATGTTTTCATTGGTTTTCCAGGGTATTTAAAAGAAAGAATTGTCCATTGAAATAGAACTTTTTTTATGAATATAATGTACATTTTAGAGGTGGCTCAGACAAAAACTCAGATCTCTTGTTTAATTAAAATCTTTTTTGCATTATTCTTTCCCTGTATATATGAGAAGCCTTACAGACACATCACATTGAAACACTGGCTTCTGTATGATCACCAAAGTTAAGCAACATTGAGCCTAGTCATTACCTTGATGGGTAACTACTTGGGAATATCAGGTACTGTAAGCTAGCATGTGTGGGTGGCATAATGTTCAATAACTCAGAATTGTTAATTGGAGAGCTGAGTTCCAATTCCTGTTGGGTTCATTATATTCACTTACCCACAAATATTCTTGGGAAAGCTATGAATCCACCTCTTCTCCTCCCAGTTATGGGTTAATTAGTAAAACTTGTATCACTGAATTATTATTATCACAAAAAAATTTACAACCTAAAAATATTTTCTGGCTTTAAATAACCTGCAATGGGTTGATAATCTGTAGAAAATGAACCAGTCAGTGTATACATGAAAAATGATTTGTGATTTGGTTTCTTTTGCTCTTAAAAACTCTTTGAAAATGGGAAGTTGCCAGATGATAATTTTTCTAATATGGCTTGACACTTGAATCAACACTACAGCATCATGTATAGTTATGTACAAATGATGGTTGCCCACTCCCAGCATGAGGACTGCCACCAAACAGGCCATGGCAGATGAGGTGTTTCCCTATAACCTCTGGAAACCTGATTATTGTGCAATGTATGTATGTGTATATATATATATATATATATATATATATATATATATGAGAGAGAGAGAGAGAAACAGTGTGGATATAAGAATCAGTTGTATGATAACTGTCAGTTTTACACCTGAAGCAATTGTTAGACCACTATGCTGAGTGGGCTTGAGTTAAATTTTCTCAGAGAGTGTGCTCTATCTGATATAATCAGTAGTTAAACAAAGGCCAGTGTGTTAAAATGGTCAGTTACGATGACATGTGACTTTGTTCTTGCACAGACATTGATAGCTTGATATGGTTTTCAGGCACTTCCCAACAGTGTCACATGTGGAGTTAGTCTCTACAAGCTGAGATTACAAAGAATTCAACTCTTTGACAAATCAACAATTGGTGAAATTCAAATCGTAGGTTCAAACACAAACCATTTAGCCACATGTCCATTTTATATATATGCTATCTATCTTCCTATATATATATATACTGAACTCTCTCAGTTCTATGAACCAAATGGCCAGAGTGCTCACATATGATTTGATTATAGTTGTGAAGGTTTTTGCAAGGTTCTCAAATAACCCTCCTCAGGTTTTGAATTCTGAGTTGTCTTTCTCCTAGACCAGTTGTCGACCAAGTCTGTTATTTGCCCATAGCTGGTGGTGGGAAGCAAGAGAGTACCTGGTATTTGCACATGAGTGAATTTAATGACCTTGACTGGAATTTGAATTCAGCTCCTCAGTTAACACTTACAATCGTCTATGTTGCTATCTCTTTGTTTTTTTAGCTTTCATAATACCAATTGAAAAAGATTAGAACTCTTCAGTAGAAACACTTTGAAACCTTATTTTTCTAATTTATTTTCTAACAAATTAATTATCCAGTTAAATAGTTCTTTTATGTTCAGTTTAGTTTCAGGCTTAAAAACTGTCACTATGACTGCACTTGATACAAATTATTAAGTACTTGTTGAAACTTTAAAAACTTATATTTTAATTTAAAATGGGAATTGAGTCAGTTAAAAACACTTTCTGTTTCAGTTAGTTATTTCTAGAATGATACTCATTGGTCTAACAGACCCAAGTCTACTGCACACACATTCAGTTGTTATTTAAAATTTGATAAACATAAAATATTAATTTTCATTTTCTATAAGGCTAAAAAGGTTATACTATTTTCAAGGCTCAAGAAATAAAATGGAAATAGTTTCCTAGGATTTTTTCTAATTTCAAATTCTGGGAGAGCCAGGTGTTCCTTTCTGGGTGAGGGATCAGTTCCAAGGAATTTTATCCCCTTTATGCCATTTGTGCTAGCAGTCACTGGATGATGGTCAGGTGACACCTGTTGTGCATGTCGGTCCTTACCGGGTGAGGAGCTAATTCAATTCCCATAGTCTTAACCCCCTTCACACCGCTAGGTTTCGTATAATCTGAGTTGTTAGCTGTGATTTGTCTTGGGATTGGGAGTGCAGTGGTTTCCCGTGCCTTCTCCATGGTGGTTTATGGAGACACCACCTCCAGTTAGCTGGATGTTGACTCAGAGAGTTTCTCCATCCTTTGTTAGGTCTTGTTTTTTGTTCTCCTGGCTTACTAATGAGCCGCCTCACTTGCAACTTGGAGTGGGATACTCGGTTTAGTCGCCAACATTTCAAATGGAATACTTACCAAAAGGGAGTGGGGGGCTAATTAAGTTTCAAGTGTACCAAAAAAAAAAAAAAACATTGAACATAGAATATGCTGTGCCAGAAATAGCTTCACTCAATATGGAAAATGCTATGAAATCAAAACATCAACCTGAAAGCTCGAGTCATGTTCTTAAAAAGCCTCTTCAGATTGAGACATTCATATGGCACCAAACCCAGTCATAAACATCTAAACAATCAGCTTTCTCAGACCAACAGTGAAAAAACACTTTGTCTGAATAAAGCCTCATGGTCTTAGCAAAGGTTGTCTTTCTTTGAATATTGTGGATTGGCACTACAGAATCATAAAGAAATGCAGCAAATAACAGAAACCACATCACTTGAGGACAACCAAAAGCAGCAACAACTAAAATGGATAGTACATTTAACTGAAAGAGAAAATAATGACATAATCAAGATGTTGACATTCCACACCACTTCAAATAAATGGTTAGGAAGGAAACTCCTATCAATGTTGGAAAGAGCGGTAATAGTTACTGGACTTGAGAAACCTGTTTCCCTAAAAAATTGATTTAACCCCTTCCCTGGTACAGACATGTATATATGTTTTTTTTTCAGACATGGATGAATAAACATGTCCAAAACATAACGTTCAAAAACCAGCTATAGATATGTTTATACGTCAATCTTGATTTTTTTTTATGCCATTCTGAGCTTGAAACAAGTCCAATTGTCAACTTATACATCTGCTAGAGCTGTTAGCCACCGCTTGGGTATTTCAAAGTGCCTTAGTTTCTTAGTTACTATATTAAAAACAAATAAAATAAAAACGTCTGCAAATGAAACGTTTTTCCCAAAATATTTGGTGGGAAGGAGTTAAAAGAAAGATTTTTTAAATTTCAACTGAAAGCAGTACTGGCTGCTCGGTTACTGAATACTAAATGTTTCCTTATAGTGAAATGGCTAATATTACCTTTAGCATTCTTGGGTTAGTGTAATTTTTTTTTTAATTTCAAAATTACAGTAAAAATATAAATAAATCTCATATAAAACCAAAGATATTTAGATTCAGAATAATTAAAAAATATTTACCCTTTTCACAGGATAAGTAACCTTATTTAATTTCTCTCTTGATATTTTTGTTAAATTTCACATTTAAAAACAACACTTAAAACCTTTCCAGGCAGCTCAATTCTATTCTTTTGTGGCATTATCAAGACTATTCAAGTTTGTTTGATGATTCTAAAAATGCCACCTTGTAGCCAATTCTTGTTCATTCCAGCCTCTCCTTCAAATAAAAAAAATAAAATAAAATTCACATATATAAAATAATACCTCCCTGGCTTTTACATGGGTAGCTTCAAAATAATATTAAGCTCAAGCCCCAGAGGGCTATTCCCCCAGGCAGTGAGGCTGGAGTCATTACCTAGCACCTGTGGCCTCCACATAAGGGGAAGTGACTAGAGGAATTGAGCAATTTTTCCATAGTATTGCTGTTAAACCTTGCGTCACACTTGGTAGCAATGTGGGCACACTAAAAAATCCATAGATAAAACAATATTACTTCAAATGTTATTTTAAGGGACACTTAGTATTTGAAATAGATGCCCCATTTTTATTTATTAAACAGTGTGTATAAGTATCCAAATAATCTAAGTAAAGAAAATGTGTACTCTGGCAAATTTCAGTACTGAGCAGGGAAGGCCAGTAGCCTTATTACACACTGCTTAATAAATAAAAGTGGGGCCTTTATTTCAAATACTGGTAGTTCAGTATAATAACATTTGAAGTAATATGAATGTCAGATTAAAAGTAAATCGATTCATTTTTTATAAAATAATATATATCCATATTGGATCATCCTATCCATATGTGTGTGTCTGTGTATGTGTATAACAGTCTTCTACATCATAAGGAGAGTCTTCTACATAGAAATAGACAATTCTCCAACCTTCATATAATACAATCTTCTGATGATGTAGCTGAAATAGAATTTACTTTAAACTTGACAAATAAAAAAGATCAATTTATTCATATCTGGAAATATTTTTAGCTTACTTATTATTATAGATTATTTTTGTCTTGCAGTATTCCAGTAAACTAGTGTGTGTGTGTGTGTGTGTGTGTGTGTGTGTATATATATATATATATATATATATATATATATATATATATATATATATATATATATAAAATTATCA